TGTGCCATAGTTAATATTTTTTTGTCCTGAACGTACTGAAAATTATTGAATTTTTCGAGATTTGTTGATTAGCTCTAGCGTGATAATTTTTACTCCTCATCGTTTGGCTTTAATGTATTTATCCAACGGTTTTAAAAACGATTAAAATTGAAGATTTAGTGCATAAGCCAGATTCAGAAACACGACAATTTTTTAAAATGTACATCTTTACAAAATGTCTCAAAATAAATTTATTTTTATTTTGTTTTTCGGTTGATAAATTGGTGAAGCCCTTCATTGTAGGAAATGTCTGACTGTTGCATGCATTTTTGAGGTACTTTAAACGCTGTGATGTATATGTACTTTTTATTAACTAAAAAAAGTAAGTATTTACTAAAAGAGTACAATATTTTGCGATAGAGAGAAAAGTTATGACACGTTGCCGTGCTCCAGTACTTTATATCATTCGACAAATGGCTTAATTAACTAATATTATTAAAAAACAGTATATGTAACGATGATGGTTGAATTTAATAATACATAATGAAAGTATGAATCCAATTGTACACTACTCGTCGCGTGGCCCTCAGTTTTTTTTTTTTTTAGTAAATCGTTAAGTAGTTTTAAAGCATCGATTTTTATTGTCTAATTTTTAAAATCTCTTCTGTAAGTTTCCAACAAGTGCATTTCTTGTATGTAATACAGTATTACTAGGTATTCACTGCATTATTAAAAATGTAATGCAGTGAATACCTAGTAATAGTAAGTTTCCAACAAGTGCATTTCTTGTATGTAATACAGTATTACTAGGTATTCACTGCATTATTAAAAATGTAATGGAAATTGAATTGTATAATAATAAATTACTTTTCATTTTTGTTGCAAATTTTTGTTTTATTGTTTTCTCCTATCAACCATTTAACTATAATTTGCAATCTGCATAGTGATAAGATATCTTCTGTGTGCAAGTGGTTCGTACCTACCGTATCTCGTTAAGATAATTTTCCCTTACGAGGTGGTCAGGGATGAAGTGGAAGATATCTTCTTTGTCTGGTCATCGTCGTTTTCTATATTAGTAAGGTGTAATTTCTGGACATTCCTTCCAGTTCTTCATAAAGTAGGGACAACAACGGTCAAATTCAAAAAAGTGCGATTTTAATAATTATAATGATTAAAAACCATTGCAGCTAGAAATAATTAAAAACTTACTTTCGAAATGTGTACCCTGCTTTCTGTAAGATAAAATACAGAAAAACTGTTATCTGCCTTTATAAAATTTAAGAAGATAATTATTCTTTTCTGAAGTGTTCCCGACTAAGTCAGCATATTTATTAATTATATTAATTGTGTCCGACACTGCTGCACTGTTATTCTGCAAATAAATGATAAGTAATATGTCTTTTCCCCCCTGAGCAGAATGAATTTGTGGTGACGTTTAAAACCAGCAAAAATTTAAATTACGTTTAACAACATTGATTGTGTCGCTGTGATGTTCGTTTGTATTCGGTCTTCTTTGCAACTAGGGCTGCAACGAGGATTCGAATGCACCTCTACTCACAAAACATTTATATACACACACTCACACATATGCTGTGCTAGCTAGATTTTCATAATATGTGTAATTGTAATGA